AAATTCATTGGGAAAAAAGACTCGCTTATAATTGTCCTAAAGTAAAACTTAATCAACGTCGAATGTTTATATACTCAGCAGAAAGGCAGAAACCTAAATTTCAACTAACAACTGGAAGAGAAGAAAAGACTCGTTTGCCTTCATATATTCGTCCACAAACGAAAAACATCGACAACCGGGAAGGTGAAAAAGCAACGAACAAGGGATCGGTAGCTTTTCGCTCGATTTCACTCGTCCGACTCGGATGTTTAAATATAAAAACAGGGTGGTGAAAATACCGCGACAAAGGGAACACGCGACCTACCCCTCCATTGCTTTTTTAATAATTCGGCTTTGACGCTGTACACGCGCCTCCGTGTATCTCTTTCCGTTTCCTTTCTTTATATATATATATATATATATCCTTTTCCTTTTTTCTTTTTCCTCCTTCTCTCAAAGGCCACGATACGTAACAAATAACTTCGAATCCGTCAACATTCGAAACTGGTACACAACGTAGTGGGAAAAATTTCAATGATCGTGTAGTTAATAATAGAATTAGTTGGATTATGCTCTAGATAAAGCATCGAATTCTTCTCTCTCATTCAAGTGGAATTATTATTTTTATTTGATTCAATGAAAAACGAATAATGAATGAAAAGTTCCAAAATTCCAATTTTTGGAGATATTCAAATGATTTTGAAATTAAAAATCTTTGATAAGATGACTTTGCTCATAATTATTATCCTTTCTTGCCTTTTTTATTTTAATTCAATTAACTAGCCAAAAGTAGCTTTATTCGAAATAACTGATTAATTTCTCAGTGATCGATTCTGGTCGAGATCGAGATGGATCCAAGATAGATCAGCGCGGTTATTGCTCGGAACTTTCGCATTTTTCCACGTTTGAACACGCATGGTTATCGAACAGGGGGGGAGGAGGTGGCTATAGTCGTCGATGCTAGGCAAAGTTACCATAGGAACGAGCACGTTCGGTGATAAAATCGTGGATGCCTGGAATCGTTTCGCGGATCAATTCGGATGTTTCGTGGTCGGAATGTGTTTGCTCGGTTTGATGGTGGGTATAGGGGATGTTTATGGTGGGGTAAGAAAGAGATGAGAGTCGTTGGATGATCGGGTTTCGGTTATTTGCGAATAAATTTCGATATTTCGAAGTTTGCGCGTTATTATCGATGTTTTCCTCCCTTTGTGTTCTATGTTCGTTAGGCTCGTTCGATTCTTTTTCTTTGTATTTTCGAAAATAAAATTCGACATAATAAAATGCAAATACGAGATTTCATTAATGATATTACAAATCTGAAGTAGAAATGATGAAATGTTAGTAATAATGAATAAGAAACATGTGGGGATAATAAATCCAAGATACGAAAGAGAAAAATGGAAAAAATGGTGATGGTTGAAAGAAAATTTTTGATGGAATTGTTCTTAATAAGATAAGCAAATAAATATATGATTGTATTTAATCAAAAACATTTTGTTATGGATAATGTGATTTATTGATTATTCTCGAAAAAGTGTTCGAATGGCATTAATTTCTCAAAATATGTTAAAAATTATATATTATATCGACACAGCGTCAAAAACGTATTTGAATAGTTTCAAATTTCTTATAACATGTCAAATTAAAATTTCAAATTGGAAGCTCAACGTTATATAAAAGCTCGCCTATACAACTCAATTCTACAAGCAAATTCAATTATATTATAAATTAATCGGTAAAAAGTTGGAAATTTTCATTTATATTGTCGTACTAAATGAGAGACATATTTTACAATTTTTAAAAGTTTGTTTATTACACGTGAAATAATTGTGTGTTATCCTCTTTAAAAGCCGTTGGAATAATTATTTTCGAATTATTGACTAAAGTTTGTCAGAATTTATAATTATTCTGGAAGCAATCGTTTACTGAATAATTATACGAAACAAAAGGGGATGAAATTCTTGTTAATGATAATGATGGAGAAATAAACAACAGAGAGATAAACATCATTTTACATCATTTCATCTTGCAGTTATGATATAGTGAATAGAATTCTATTAATTCATTTAGTCTTTTTTTATGTATATATATACATATATATTTAAAACCAGAAAGATAAATGAAATTTAAATGTATCCTTTCAAATCTTCCCTCTCTAAAACAATCGTACTCGTAGAGAAAGCCTCCTCTTTTATCTTATCTTTTATCAAGACAGTACCTTTTCTGCCCGGTATAAAGTTGCCTCTCCAGTTCTATTTCCGATCTCTATCCGTTAGCACGAGGACCAGTTGTTCCGAAATAACCTATAATTGTATCTCTGGCAGCGTTTCGACCACGCAGCTTGGCAACATTGTCGATTCTGGGTTCACATTTAACGTGGAACGCAGGAAATTTCACGGTAATTAGTTCGAGAGATTGTACAATCAAAAAGGGAACAATGAATAAGTTATAAATGAAAGCCTCTTTTTAGATTTGCCGAATGAAGGGTTGAATTATTAGGGAATTCATGGTTAAAAGAAGATAAAGGAAATCTTGAATCGCAAATACGTATCTTCAATTTAGCATAAATTAAATTCTACCTAGAAGAATAATTCCCAATAGATATCGATTATCTTTTAATAAAAAAAAAAAAAAAAAAAGAAATTCGTTTCTTTATTAATTTTATAGAAGAAGAAAAAGATTGGTAGAAAAATTCGAAACATTTTGATTTTTAACAAAAAAAATATTCCCCCTAAAAAAAATACCCCCTAAAAATAGCGATTATTTTTTTAAAAAAAAAAAAAAAAAAAAGAAATTCATTTCTTTATTAATTTTATAGAAGAAGAAAAAGATTGTTAGAAAAATTCGAAACATTCTGATATTTAACAACAACTAGATATTTAACAATTGTATATGTAAAAAAATTTAATTATTTAATTTTTTTCTATAACTGTAACTAAATCTTAATTACTTTTTTTTTAGAACAATATATTTTTATTAATGATAATTTATTAAAATGATTATATTTTGTTATATAATATTTTATTATTTTCTTTAAAAATGACTTAATTATCTAATCATTCGTTTAATTCGATTTAATTTATTAATGCAAATTTTGATGGATATTTTCCCTGCAAAATTGTTCGCAACATGGGCATAGAGTGCGGTACTGCACAGCTCCTGATTGTGTTGCGTCGATAATCATTTCCAATTTTAAAAAAAATATTCGTATTACATAACGATCAACATTAAACAAATCTTATAATAAAATGAAATGAAAATAAAATTTATTATTCTTAAATTTATTATTCTTATATTATTATTTTTAAAAAAATTTGAATTAATAATAATAACATTCACGTGCAACATATCATTAAAAATTCCATTACGTACTGAAATTATATTTATTTAAATAATATAATAAGTAACTAATTAACTAAAAATTTTCATCGTGTAGCTTTATTAATTATGCATACAAAAAAGAACTAAATTAAAATAAAATGAAAATTTAAAATAGATCATTTCAATTAAACTCTACCATAAATAATAATTCCCAACAGATGGACACCACTATATATAATCCTATATATAAAAAAAAAAAAAGAATTCACTTCTACACCTTTTAGAAAACCAATTTCGAGCCAAGCCAAAGGTTTCAAAGCGATTAAAAAGGAAAAAAAAAAAAGAAAAAAAAAACTTGAACACCAAGTGACTCCTTTAATCCAACGAATATTCCACCCCCAACACCCGCCACCCCAACTTGTCCAGAATCCCTCGATAAAGCAGAACTCGCATCCGCGCGGAGAGCATCAAGACTGCGCATCTGTGAAGCGTATCACTCGTGAACAACCCTGCCCATCAACCCCCTAAACCCAGAGTCGCACCCCAGTCGCGCCAAATAAAGACTCCGTTCCAGTCGCGTCGTTGTTTCGAATACAAAGACAAAAAAAGAAAAAAAGAAGGAAAAAAAAAAAACAAAAAGAAGAAGGAAAAAGTTACAACCAAGAGAGAAGAGGCGACAAGTGACGAACGTTGTGAAAAGGGTTGACCGATTAATTTCACGAGCATGGAAGAAGGTGGACGACCGAGTAACGGACGGCAAGAGAGGAAATGCACTTATTGGCCAGCGTCTGCGTACTCATATTGATCTGTGGCGGTGGCTGTTGGAGTGTCTACGGGGTGCCTACGGGTGGGACACCACCTGAAACCTGTCCAAAAATGCATTTTTGCTCGAGACTCGCGCGAATTCTACTCATCTCCGCCGTTTTCTGCGTCGGTTCGTTCGATGAATTTTTCCCCCTTTGATTTTTCCTTTCTTTTCCATCGTTCGTGTCGAGTGTTAATCCACGTTGTTTCACAGGTCTCTGCTCCGAGGATGAGGAAAGGTTGGTGCGAGATTTGTTTAGAGGGTACAACAAACTCATTAGACCTGTGCAGAACATGACAGAAAAGGTGCACGTGAATTTTGGCCTCGCTTTCGTGCAACTGATCAACGTGGTGAGTGATTATTCGTGTTGGGGGTGTAGAATGTCGTACGTAGGGGTGGCTGTCAGAAAGAGCGTAAAGGTTTCACGTTTCCTTTCTTTCTTCTTCTGTATTTTTCGCATTGAGCGAAAATTTCTTCTCTGAGGAAACGTGGTTAGAGATTTGAATTTAGGTTAATACAAGAGTTCGAATTTCGAGGCAAGCAGAAATGTGACTCGACTCGTGTCTTTCCAGAATGAGAAAAATCAAATTATGAAGTCGAACGTTTGGTTGAGATTTATTTGGACGGATTATCAGCTGCAATGGGACGAGGCAGACTATGGCGGTATCGGTGTACTCAGATTACCACCCGACAAAGTATGGAAACCTGACATCGTATTATTTAACAAGTACGTGACAAAATTCGAGCCAAAGTTTTCTCACCAATTTTACTTATTCTCTCTTTTCTGAAAAAAAAAAAAAACAAAAATTTGCAGCGCGGACGGCAACTACGAGGTGCGGTACAAGAGCAACGTGCTGATCTATCCAAACGGCGACGTTCTCTGGGTCCCACCGGCGATCTATCAGAGCTCCTGCACCATCGACGTCACGTACTTCCCCTTCGACCAGCAGACCTGCATCATGAAATTCGGTTCCTGGACGTTCAACGGCGACCAAGTCTCCCTTGCCTTGTACAACAACAAGAACTTCGTCGACCTGTCCGACTATTGGAAGAGCGGCACCTGGGACATCATCAACGTTCCGGCCTACTTGAACATCTACAAAGGCGACTTTCCAACGGAGACAGACATCACGTTCTACATAATCATCAGACGGAAAACCCTGTTCTACACAGTGAACCTGATCCTGCCAACCGTGCTCATCTCTTTCCTATGCGTGCTTGTGTTCTACCTTCCAGCCGAGGCCGGTGAGAAAGTGACTCTGGGTATCAGTATCCTCCTCTCATTGGTCGTGTTCCTGTTGCTGGTCAGCAAGATCCTGCCACCGACCTCGTTGGTGCTCCCGTTGATCGCCAAGTATCTTCTCTTCACGTTCATCATGAACACGGTCAGCATCCTGGTCACGGTGATCATCATCAATTGGAACTTCCGTGGGCCGAGGACCCACAGAATGCCCCAGTTGATCAGAAAGATATTCTTGAAGTATCTGCCAACTATACTGATGATGAGAAGGCCCAAGAAGACGCGTCTCAGGTGGATGATGGAGATTCCAAACGTGACGTTGCCCACTTCCACTTACTCGGGTAGCCCGACGGAGTTGCCCAAGCATCTGCCTACCTCGTTGACGAAGTCGAAGATGGAGGTGATGGAGTTGTCGGATCTTCATCATCCGAATTGCAAGATCAACAGGAAGGTTCATCACACAACGAGCAGCTCGAGCGCGGCCGGCGGGGAAGGCCTCGCCGACAGAAGGGGATCAGAGAGCTCTGATTCGGTGTTGCTCAGCCCGGAAGCTAGCAAGGCTACTGAGGCTGTCGAGTTCATTGCCGAGCATCTGAGAAACGAAGATCTGTACATACAGGTTGGAGAAATTATTTCACTTATTTCATTGATTTGTCGTTAAAATTTTTTAATGATATGATAATGAGTGATCTGTCATCGACAGTTTGAATATAAATAAATTAATGTGATGTTTGTTAGAGAGAAGTTTCAACGAGGTAATCGAAAATTGTTTATTACGTTAAAATATTTCTTTTACATTGAAAAGATTAAAAGTTTATTTTTAAAATTTTAATATTAGAATGTTAAGATTTATTATTTTTAATTATTTTATTGATTTATTAATTTTTAAAGGTTTAAAAAAAAATATGTTATATTAATTTTTTTGAAATAATTATTTATATTTATAGTTCAAAGTAAGGTGAATGAATAAATTTTAAATATTTATAAAAGTAGAATTATTTTTATATCTTTTGTATCAGGGTTGATTAAAAATTTATATATCTCGAAAATAAAAGAGCTATTATTATTGCTTTATTCCTTAAAAACTTATCTCGTCTGTCTAAATTTACGAAAATAAATTTCTTTTTCAACTCACGCGTTATTATTATCTTTTATTTTTGGTTATAAAAAGTAAGGGATTAAAACTGATTCTCGATATTCGTCCTTTCAGACGAGGGAAGATTGGAAGTACGTGGCGATGGTGATCGATCGACTGCAGCTTTACATTTTCTTCCTGGTGACGACCGCGGGTACCATTGGGATCCTAATGGACGCACCTCACATCTTCGAGTACGTGGACCAGGATCATATAATAGAGATCTACCGTGGAAAATAAATTCCAGTACAATCTAGGAAATTGAAAGGGAATAAAACGCGTGCCATCATCGCAATTTTCGTTTCATCCGTGTCTTCTCATAATATTCTCTTTTGTATAAAATTACGTGTATATGTGTATTCCTCTCATCTCGAGATAAGGTCCACGGGATGAAATTAATATTTTGAAGCTTTTTCATTTGAATATTGCTTATTTCGAAGAAATTAATCGAAGAAGAGATTTTTCGAAGATTTTCAAAAATTGTTTCGACCTTTTTCGTTTCTCGAAATAATGGTGATGGTGATAGTGTAATAAAAAGTCGAAACACGAAGATCTTTCTTCATTTTGTAACTGAAGTTTCAAAAATTGTGAAGGAACGAAGCTCAACAGCACTCATCGTATATAATCGTTCAAATTAGTAAAAAAAATTGAATGAATTTCATTCTATAATTCAATCAATCCAGATTTTATTTTTTTTTATCGAAATTTAAATATCGTATTGATTTTAAACAATTGTCTGGAAATTAATCACGATTATAATTGTCTTCCTTCGACACAAACTGAGTGCTGATTAAACGCAAATTAAGAATCCAATATTAAAATTAATATCCCATTGACCACGCATCCTAGTTGAGCAATCGGTTAATCGGGAATAAGGAATAAGCATAGAGCGTAGACATCAAATAATTTTGATATTAATCGTGCAAATAATCGTTGCCATTATTGTAATCTAGAAAAACTCGTGTTTGATGAATCATCATCATGCGATGCAGAACATCGAAGGGCCGTGACAACGTTCACGACAGACACATACGTCTCGATTTTTCTACTCCATTATTCATTTGGAACAAGTTGGCTGTGCTGTATTTTAATCCAGAATTAATTGCAGAGAAATTCAAAAATGGAAAGACGATCAAATTTGATTTCATTGAATCTATGTATTTATATTGTGACATTTTTATTAATTTCAAATATTAAAATTTTGAATTTTCGAAAATTCGTAATTTCAAATTCCTCAATCGTATAAATAATTGAGAATATTTTTACTTTATACTTAAATTTTGAAACGATATTGAAATTTAGAAATTTTGATCATTTTCAAACTTCTATACTTTGCAAAAATTTGAAGTTTTATATTATTTATAATTTTGTAAACTTCAAACTCGAAATTTTAAAAATTCGACAATTTTTCAAATCAAACTTTAAAATTCCAATATCGAAGCATTTAATTATTTCAATACCGAGCCACAACTTTTTCCAAATTTCTCACTTTTCCAAACAGATTCTCCTACGGAGATTTCTCGAAAAAAAAAAAAAAGAAGAAAGAAAAAATTGAATCGTCACAACTCTTGACGTCACAGCGAAAGCGCACATTATAAGCACAATGTCACGGCCCTGCGTACATAATCGTTAATAAAGATAAAAGAGAGAGGAAAAAAAAAGTGGAGAAAAATAAGAAAATAAAATATCATATACGAATATATGATACCCACGCTATAATATAACAGAAGATTGTTAAAACGGTCATGTTTTCTCTAATAGAAAGTTTTGCTCCATTACGCAAAGGGTGTTTGTGGTTACCGATTTAACGAAACGTTGATTTTCTCATATGTATCGCCTACAGTTGTGCCTCGCGGATTATCCCAATTGTTATATGTGATTATCCCAATTGTTACTGTATATAATATACGAATTTTTCGATTTTAATTTCGTTGAATCTCTATTATTCACCGATGGAAATGTCTAAATATTATGTTGTTGCAGATTAAAGAGAGATTTTTAATTCTTTAAAGTTGTATAATATACTGTTCAACTGTTCATTCATTTGCCTTTGTTGTTGTTGTTTCAAAATATGTAATTTATGAAAGATTTATATTTACATTTATTATATATTGTGATGAAAAAGTTTCACATTTTGATGAAAAATAATTTGAATGTTAAGGGGTTGAAAGTAATATTAATCAATAACTTGATTCAACAAATTAAATAACTTTAACCATCGAGAAGCAAGAGAAAATCATTCAAATTGATTTTATTAATGATCTGTTGATTTATATTTTGTTTATATTTGTCAATTTAATTTTTCACAATAGCAATTCGTTTGTTCGCTCTTTTAATATTGCAATTTTAAAAACTCTTTATCTTTAATATTATCAATCGAAATGTATGAAAGAAGCATTTGAATTTAATGTTAAAGTATATTTTATTATAATACATAATTTATATGCAATATTATTAAGAATTTATATTTTCTCTTACTATTTATAATCGTAACACAATTCAACGATACTATAATGATATAAACGCACGATTAAAATTTACATTTAACTAGTTTCAAATCGTCAAATTCTAAATGATTTTATATATATATATTTGTAAAATAGAGCATATGCAACAACATTAATATTATCGAACAACATTCACTTCTTTTCGAATCGAAATACTTCTAAATTTGATTAATAAGAAACAATTCAAATCGCATGTCGTTTTCATAATTTTATACGTAAAAGATAAAATAAATCGTAAATTAATTCTGAATCTTCCAAAGAAAAAAAAAAAAAAAAAGAAAAAAAAAAGAAAAAAAGAAACGACCTGAACTTTTACAATCTTCTAAATTATCAACAGTTAGAAGGTGTATCTTCTAAAAATGAAAAAGATAATTTCTTCGAAGTTCGGGTCATGGATGGAAATAAAAGAGAATACGAGACCCGATGTTTTAACAAAATTCATCGTTGAACGTTTGTGATTCGTTGTCCTCGCTTGTATGAATATAAATCCTGATGTGTATGAGATATCATTCGAGATTTAGAGTAACGTTAGGGTGACACGTGTCTTCCTTGAACGAGATACAATAACTAGAATTTAGTCCCCCGTGAAGTGGAGTAATTAGATAATGCTTGTTCATTTCTATACATTTTAATTCTATATATTTTATAGCGTTGTTCACTCGAGAATATGCGAAGTATGCATGTGTACGAGAATCACAATGAGACGATTTTAAATGAAGATTTTTATTGAGAGATTATTGAACGTTTCAATTATTGAATCGTCGATGTATTATTACTTGTACAGGATGTATCATGACATATATTTGAGAGATATCTTTGGAGGATCGATTTTAAAACAGAAAAAATTGCAAAAGTACAAAAAAATGGTCAAGATTGGTTTATTTGTCGAGTTACGAAATTAATTGAATTTTTGCAACGAAGACATCTTATTATTCTCAAATATGTCTCACGAATATATCAACATCCTGTATATTAAGTTGATTTCATTATAAGTATAAGAGTTTTCTGAAGAAGAGGAAGATTAATTTGGCCTTTTATGTTTCTTTTTTAAATTTTTGTTTCAGTGAAACATGAATGAAATTTAAAAAAGATTATGATATAGAAATAAGCAAAGAGAGATAATTTTTTTTTTTTTTTGAATTTTTGATATCAAGAAGATACAAAATTAAATTATCTTTCATATTGTATTTAAAATATCTCTATAAAAATTGGAAAATTTGTAAGATGATTTAACTTTTGTTTTATAAGTTTTTTTTTCTTGAAAATTTTCTCCTCAATTGCAAATCAAAATAAAAAATTTTACAACTGGCATTTTCGATTAACCCTAGAATAAATTAATGCAAATATATCTTCTTTGTATATCTTTATTTTTAAATTATAATGTGTTCAAATTGAATTGATATTATTGTGAATATAATTTATAATTAATACAATAATAAATACTTCTTTTACAAAATTATAAAAGAAAAGAAAAAGATAATATCAAATATTTTAGGGTTAATATCATTTTATACATATAAATTTTTAAAAATATAATGCTATTATATTTTATTATTATTGTTCGTTATTATTAACACTTTGGATTTTTAATATATTTTTAAAGTTTCTTATTAAATTTAAGTAAACAATTTTTATTAATGTACTCTCCTGTTCATAAGTCATACACGATACAATTAAATACAATATTTATTAAAAGTATAATTTAAATTTTCTGAATAAGTGTAAACATACTTTTTCAACAATTATAACAATGCTTATTTATTCTACAAATATTTTAATTATTCTAAGTGTTCTCTTGTCTTATGAACATATAGTACATTGAAATAATGAATTTTAGAAATTAAATTTTCATTTGATAAAATCGAAATTAAACAAATAGAATATTCTTTTTCTATATGATTGAAAAATTAAAAAACTGTAAGAATGTACTCTCATTGATTCTCACGTGTAGCAATTGGAAGCTTATTCCACTCGAACTATAAATCTAGTTATCGTTAAAATTAAATGTCTAAGGGAAATCATTTTATCAGCGTTACAACAATCAAACCGTACCGTATTGAAATTTATCGCACAAAAAAGGCGTGAATATCGCTAATTAAGTAAACATTTGAACAAATTTCCATTAATTTCTTCCATTTTTGAATATACATTATCTTAGCGAACAGTTGCATCGTTAATTTTTGAATATACATATATTCCTATCACTCATCTATATTTAGACAAATATTTAGACTGTTTCTTAATTCAGCTATTAGATATAATTTCATTCATGTAGCTTTAACACATATGAATATACAGGATGTTTCTTAATTTTTCGACCAACTTGCACATTATAGAAGAATAAATTGCGAGTGACAAGTTTAATGTAAAATTATAAATGGATGTTTACGAAAATTCACAATATGCATTTTACTTTGGATATTTTGGGTATCTTTTTGTATATTGTACGTGCATTTTATACATGTTCACATATTCAAATATTCCATAAATTCATAAAAATTCATAATCTGTTTATAACATTAAACATAGGCTGAATATGCGTAAATAGCAATAAATTCTGCATTAAAGTGCGAAATTTATTTGCGAAAATAAAATTAATTTAACATTAATTTAACATAAGAGGAATAATAATTAGTGAGAGTTTACAAGAAAAGTCCATTTATGAAAATTGCTCTTGAGAGTTTTAAATGTATTTGTACGTTTAGATAAAAATCTTGAAATGAAAATTAATATAAATATTACGAGCAATTATCATAAATTATCGTGTGAAATTTATATAACATAAATTATGCTTCTGCAGTTTAGTCAGAAAAATACGAGACACCCTGTATAACCGTATACTCGATAAGAAATATCTCAAATTATATACATATATCGTATAATAAAAATCCATTAAAGCACTAGTTCAAATTAAGTATGATAAATTGATTACACGTTATTAACGATTTTCTGAATTCCAATTGGTTTTTCTTATGAAATTTTTAAACATTTGCCAAATCGTTTGAAAAGAATAAAAAAAGAAAGAAGAACATTCGATAGAATTTTTGAAACATTTGAAAAATTATCACGAACACAATGGTCATTGAAAATAATAACGGAGAGAGATTTTTTTATGAGTTAGTGCGATGTAA